GACTGGGTAGGAAGCCTTGTTTTGAACCACAACACCTACTGGAAGCAGAGCTTGTATAAAGTAGTTGCGGAGTCAGACATTCAGCATAGTGAGGACTACGAGTTGTCCCATTTCTGATCGACACAGACGGAGGTTAGAACCAGTGGAGCTGAGTGGCCCCTTGGCTCTTACTGCTGCCTTTTTAATAATGTGATGCATCTGAGAGATTTTCCTATTTAATCAGTTATAAATACAAAAAGGGAGATATGTAACAACACCACTAATTGGGAATAGTTGTAAACAGAATGTGGCACAGGAAGCGGCCCGTAGGCTGGCTTGCAATGCAGCCGTAGCAGAGCTCCTGATGCCCACGTAGTGCTTTTCAAATACACTACAGATTTATTACCATTAACTTCTATTTACATCATACTGTAGATTAGCCTGTTCACAAATCATTTATTTCTCATATTTATTTCATATTATAATATTCAAACAGTTAATTTTCAAAGAGTAAAGGTTGTGTTTTAGAAAATAACAAAAAAGTATGTCACATTAAGAAAGAAATAAGAGGAAACAGAAAAAAATACAGAACTGATAATAAAAAAAGTTACAGAAAATTACAACTACAGCACTGATATGTCTCAGGTTTATCTGAAAATGACAAGTGGTATGTGCAAAATGGTACAGCTGACAAAAAAAATTAATGAGAGTATCTACACTGTGATTACATTATTTGTAAAGAGTTAATAAAAATCAGAATATGATTTAATAGAAAATGAGATAGCTCGCCCTAACAACTGATCTACTCTTCTAAATCTAAAACATTATACCATTGTGTATTTCATATTAGAGAACATCTTCACTGCACAGTTCAAATATAATACATTGTTGGATTATTATTATACTGTACTTTACCCCCCCTTAAATCTTAATAATGAAAGAAAAAAAAATCAAAACAAAATTAACAAAGAGATAAAATAGACACAGTGGCTTCGGCCACTGCTATATATATTTTTTTAAATCTCTCCTGTTATATAAAAATCATCAATTATACCAATGAATATATTGGAAGTTTATATAAAAAAACATCTACGTCTGGATGGCCAACACTACTACTCAGTACAGAAGAGAATTAGAGCCACAAAACATTTTATCTTTGAATTCAAGTAAGAATTCTGTGTTTGAAGTTTTACTTTTTTCCACCAGAATTCTGACTTTTTTCTTAGAATTCTGCTATTACTATTTTTTTTAATTCATGTGGCCCTAATTCTTTTTCATATCACAGCATGTGGACTGAGCAATTAAATGGTTGAACAGTTTAGTTGCCATGGCAATTCTTTTTTTTTTTTTCTTTTCTCATCTCATAATTCATATCTATGTAGAATCTTGTCTATACACATAAACATGCCAGATATGTCCATCAGAACCTTTGGCTTGAAGTGACGTTTGATAGAACCACATTATTCAGTCAACAAATCTACAGGCTGAATGATGTGCTGACTCACACCATTCTCTCCCTAAAAAGGAAACTAAACTACACGTCAACTATCTGTGGAAGCTGAGAGCAGCTGTGATTGCTAATACTTGTTGTAGTCTTGTGTTTTTTAATAAGCAGAATGACTTAATTCCTAATCATCTCAAGATAACTTATAAAAAAGCAGAGAAACTTGTTGCATTTTTTGTTGTAGTTATAGAAACATCAAACAAATAATCTTGTCATTATAAAAAAAGCATTGCAGTCACCAAAGGAAAGTGACTTAATATCTTGTAATTACAAGATGTTTATTTGTAATTAGGAGTAATTATTAGTAGCCTGTCAAATAAATGTAACCATAGGAATTGCTGTTATGAGTTGCTGTAATCGAGTCAGTTAAAGGGTAACATCAGTTTTTTTCAATCTGGAACCTATGTTCCGATGTTTTTGAGTCTAAGTGACTAATGGAAACGTCTTTCTTTTTTAAACTGGTCCAGTATTGGACAAAAACAGGTTTCAGTGGAATCCCTGTGGCTAGGGCTGCCACTAACGATTATTTTCATTGTCGACTAATCTGTCGATTATTTCTTCGATCAGTCGACTAATCATTTCATAGAAAAATGTGTTAAAATGTTGAAAAATGTAGGTCTGTCTCGCCCAAACCCCAAAATTACGTCATCTAATGTCTTGTTTCATACTCACGCCAAAGGGATTTAGTTCACTGTCATGGGAGAATGTGTAAAGCTGCCAATATCTGAACGTAAGAAGCTGCAGTAAGAGTATTTTGGGGTACTTTTATAGTACTTTTCTATGAAAAATGACTCAAACTGATTAGTCGACTACTAAAATAGTCACCGATTATTTTAATAATTGATTAGTCATCGATTAGTCGACTAATCGTGGCAGCCCTACCTGTGGCAACTGAACGCAGTCAATTTATATTTATTAAAATTGCCTGTTTTTGCCACTGGCAGGATCAGATTATCATTTTAAGTGTCTGACAAGATTATGAAAAGGATCCTTACAGAGATAGACCTTTTTGTTGAAGAGTAAGATGTTTTTTTAACCAGTAACAGCCCTGAAATCACTTTTTTGAACACATCAGACTCCATATAGACAAAAAGTTTTTTATCATCATAAAACAACAGTAAGAGCTACAGGCTACAGTGAGGCTAAAAACAGAGTTCAAATGACGTTTTTCCAAACAACTTTTTATGTCAGGGCTTCAGGACACTTGGATCACTACGGACGAGCAGTATAGAGATATTTTGTGGTTCCAATTAAGTGTTTTTGGACGTTTGAATCTGGGGCACCTTAAAGTGATAGTTCAGGTTTTTGGACATGAAGTTGTGTGAAACGCTGACCATCTGTAGCTCTGATGTGACGGTGTCACTACTGTCAACGAGCCTCCTGCTCTGAGAAATGGCCTGTAGCTTACCGGAGAAAAAGTAGTTCTTAAGATATAAGGGGGACACGTAACCAAAAGGTTTTAAGCTACAAAAAAGTATGCATGTGTTTTGTTAGACTATTTCAATAATTTTAAAACATCCCTGCATTACGTCAGACCTTGATATCAATTGGGGCTATTTTCTGGCCAGTATCACTCCGCCGTGCAGGCCCGCAAGACAGCACGGCAACAGAAATCAATAAGACAGTTCATCACCACGCCGTGCAGGTGCGCAGGATAGCAACGGCTATTATTAGTGAGGAAAAAGATGTACTAGCCCTATATTACAGCGCAAACACTGGCTCAGGCTCACGACACACCCTCGTCAGCTGCTGTAGGTAAGCAGAGGAATACCAAAATGGTGCGAACTTGTGATTTCCCCAGCTGTGGGAATAAAAACATCGCCGGTGTTACAACACCGGCTCCCAATTCCATCGGTTTCCTGTTACAGATGTAACCCGTAGGCAACTTTGGCTAACCCACCACCAGAACAAAGCAGAGACTGGTCGTAATCACATATGAATTCACATTTCTATGTGATTGATTACTCATGTCATGGATTTAGCAGTTAGCCTAATATAATAAACTAAATGCCTACGGTAAAACAAGGCCGCGTATAATGTACTCTCCACAACACAACAGGCTATTAGTTCAATCAAACATTTTGTTTTACAGACAATCAGTTACATACATCGTTATACATATATACATATAGACTGGTATTAGGTAATATATCTCTCTTTGGGCACAGCAGTGTGGAAATAGCGTTTTCTCTGTCCATCAGGATCTGTGGGCAGCTGAAGTGAGCCTGACATACGCGCAGTTGCTTCACCCTCGCCGGCTTGGTAGCGATGTTCATCCCAATTGACACAAGCCAAAGTTGCCTACGGGTTACATCTGTAACAGGAAACCAATGGAATTGGGAGCCGGCGATGTTTTTATTCCCACAGCTGTTCGCACCATTTTGGTATTCCTCTGTTTACCTACAGCAGCTGACGAGGATGTGTCGTGAGCCTGAGACGGTGTTTGCGCTGTAGTAGTAGGGATATATAGGGCTAGTACACCTTCTTCCTCACTAATAATAGCTTACTGGTTCTCTGTTGGAAACAGCCGATGAAGTTTTCGTTAGCCGTTGCTATCCTGCGCACCTGCAGGCGTGGTGATGAACTGTCTTATTGATTTCTGTTGCCGTGCTGTCTTGCGAGCCTGCACGGCGGAGTGATACTAGCCAGAAAATAGTCCCATTTGATAGCAAGGTCTGACGTAATGCGGGGATGTTTTAAAATTATTGAAATAGTCTAACAAAACACATGCATACTTTCTTGTAGCTTAAAACCTTTTGGTTACGTGTCCCCCGTACATCTTCAGAACTACTTTTTCTCCAGTAAGCTATGGGCGATTTCTCAGAGCAGGAGGCTCATTGAGAGAGAGCTACAGATGGTCAGCGTTTCACACAACTTCATGTCCAAAAACCTGAACTATCACTATAAGCCTACATTAGGAGGAGTTGTGTTGCTACCCCCTCTCCCCTGGGATCTCCGCAAGTGTTGTGAGGACTCTAAAACTTCACCTGAGCCTCCCTCGGCATATGGGTGAGTAGATAATGGCTGAATTTTCATTTTTGGGTGCACTATCCCTTTAAGTTCCTGCAGGAAAAAATGGCCCTTACAAGCTTGCACCTAGTAAATCTCAGGTTAAGGTTATGCTCTTGAACATTGCTGCAGGTTAACCATCACAGCACATGCCTTGTTGGGATTTGATTTCATTTGTGGGTGCACTATCCCTTTAAACAATCAGTCAAAACACTACTTGCAGTTTCATTGGATCACAATGCTATAGAAACAGCTTGGGTCCAAGTTTAGCTGCTGCCAGCTGTCGATACCAAACTGAACTAACCATAGCCAGATTTTCAACTCTATCATCTATTTTCAGGCTAAATAACATGCACAATGGGCCAATCTGATTAGGCCCCCAAAATGAATGTCTGTGGACATTGACAGAGATGTCAAAGGAGATGGGATTTAGTAATTATGAGATATTAAGTCAAATCTGAAAATGCTGTTTCTATGTGAGTGCAATGCAATTTTGTTTGTTACAAAAAATAAACAGGAAAACTCAATGAAATTTGGCTACAATACATTAAGTTTTCACAACTATGCAGACATTACACAGGATTTTTTCTTGAGAAAGTAGCATTATCTTTGTTTGGCAAAATAACTATGAGGATAATAAAGTTCTAATCACAAGTTAAGAGCTTGTTCTCAGTGAACAAAACAACAACAACAAAAAAAAACCAATGTTGAGTTCTCAAGATAATGGACTTAAATATAGCAATAATGGCTGTTCTCAGCTTCTCCTACACACCCACTCTGCCCTTAAAGGTTCAGAGAAGAACTTTTATCCATGTCCATGTTTTCCAAGGCGTCTGTACTTCCTCCCAAACCAAAAAAATAATAATAAAATAAAACTATCATTGCTAAACCGACAGAGGAAGTGCCAAAGGAAGCTGAGAGAAGAAAAACAACAACACTTGACTAGCATAGTCACTTTAACACTCTTACAAAACATAAAAACCCCAAAGTGTGACTATGACCTATCTTACAGGGTTGGAGTTCTATACAAGCCCTAACAATTTGATTTTGATAAATATTTCATTTGTGTCCTAATCATTACTCTAGCAGCTCTCTATTAGTACCATGGAAAAACCTCTACAGCTGATAATCTAAGTTTAAATCTTTAGAAATTAAAAACCCACAATATCAAAATACACAGCACAAAATATCTGAGGTATAAGATGAAAAATATCAGCTGTCATTTTATTCTTTTTTTTGTACTTCTCTCTTAGGAGATGCTGAAATGATGCACAAACTGCATGTATTGCAATACCCAGGCCTCAGTAACATCTCTCCTCTGATCACTCGTTCTCTGTTGTTTTCATTCGCTCACACACTCACGCTCACACACACTTTCTTTCTGTCCTGTTGGAAGGTTGAGTATAGGAGTTGGAGGTGTTGCTAATAGGGTGCGAAGCGGCTGTAGCCTCCCCGGTATATACTAGCCTGGAGAGAGGACAGCACTAGCCCCACGTCGTCGGCGTGGCTCCGAGTTTTCGCATCTGTCAGCGGGGTGAATGCGTTCTGAAACACATACAGGCATGCACGGACAAACCCAACGGTTCACACACAGAGGCACACACACCCACGAAAGAATGCACACACACATATTCATGGAAACACCACAGAACACACACACACCCACACACACATACACGCCCTCATTAGCCCCCCTTTATTCTTCACAAACTACAACTAGAGTTTCAACATTACGTTACCGTTATTCCAGTGCAAACCCATGGGGGGATGAAAAGACCAATGACCGGAGCAACCGTCATGCAGCAAGCACAGCAAGACGCTTCATGCCAGGGGTACATGCCAAGTGCTATGTGAAAGAAATCCAGTTAATACAACTGAAAAAGTTGAGTAAAATATGAATTAAAAAAAAAAACACGTCTAAAGGTGATTTTAAGCAGAATGGTAACCAGGACGGGCTAAATCTTGCAGATGGATCATGCTGGTTTTCACTGGGTGGAGGGGATGGAGATTTTGAGGCAGTTTAAGCTTTAAGCAGCAGTCAGTTGAGATATATTATGAAATGTGCTTTGTTTCTGTGAAATTCACAGTTAAAAGAGAATGTTGAGAGCAGTTTCCTCTGTGTGTGTTCAGATGAAACTGCATTAATGAATAATTTTACCACAGTTTTTATTAAGCCTCATAAATATGAGGTCCAGGGCACAAATTTGTGTTGCCTAAGATAGTTACTTGTTGGTTAGGTTTGTTGGGTTAAGGCAAGAGGAGTGGGATTGGTTAGAGTTAAGGTTAGAATGTCAGGGTAAGCCAGTCAGAGGGAGAGTAAGGCAGATCAGGGCAGGTCTTGCTTTCACAATCCTTGGACATGCAACTTTGCTTCTAGATGCGGTATTTGTCAAGCTTTTCAGAGTAGGAGTGAAGTTCTAACTGGTCAATCATTCTCAAGTGATACATGTTTAGTCCTACCTCAGACATATGATTAAAAGCATTTTATCAACTTTCAATTAGAAATGGACCATTATCTCTGCCAATATTTAGGAGAGCTCCACAGGTATCCTGATCTAACAGTTTAAGCACTAATAACCACGACTTTGGTTGCTATTAGCCTGGTGATATTGGCTATGTCTCCATTGTTTGACAGCTAGGGTGCTTTGATGACTGGCATAGAGAGGCCTTTCGCAAGCAGAGGTAGCATATTACTTAGACCCTGTTTACCCTTAAAGTATTAAAATGTGTCTAAGGAGATCGGATCATAAGTAGACAGTGCAAAATACAAGTGTAAAAGACCACCAAGAAGCACTGTGATCTGATCACTCGTCTGGGATGCAACCTCCAGGGCTGAAAAATGAAGCCAAGTGCAAAAAACTGCAGTTCCACAATGGCCCCTTGAGGCAGCATCCAACAGCAAAAACAATGGTCTCTGTAGCTGTCCAAATATGGCTTTTTGAAGCCAGAAGTGGGCTTCAAAAAGCCAAGATGGCGACAGCCAAAATGTTTAACTCCAGGTTTCAAAACAGGACTCCACAAACCACTGGGTGATATCAAGGTAGCTACATCCATTACTTTAAATTATTTTTTAAAATACATTATCAAAACAGGATGTGGTGGTTGTTTTGGTTACAAAGCGCCAACACTCTATAACTTGTCCATTTTATGATGAATTGAACAAAGCGATGTCTGCCTGTTCATCATTCTGCCTTATGGAAGGAGACGTGCTGGATTCTGCTGACAGCAATCTCCAGGTGTAGTGACACAACTGCTAACATGACTAGCGAGAGTGTGGACATAATAATTCTGCATGGGGCATTTTGACCTTCTCACGGAGATGACGTCAGCAGTATTAAAATCTAAACAAGTGGTTAGCTAGAAACCATGATACACACAGGTGTGAATAGCAGTAAGTCTCAGTTGTCCACATGTGTTCAGATCATTGTGTGTAAATAGTGCTATGAAAAGTGATTGTTTAAAACTGTGATATTGTTGTGTTTCCAGCTTGGATTGTGCCACCAAAACCAGGTAATTTAAGCCAAAACCTGATACTTTCCTAACCATAACCATAAGTGTTGTTTGTGCCTAATGTCAACCACAGCATTGTTTAATTTAAAGAAATATAAAGTTTCAACATATCCACTATATAATAACATATAAATGTAACATATCCGGGGTTTGGATTGACAGATCACAAAGACAAAAACCTTTGTTATATGTGACAAAAGTTTTTTATGGTTCTTTTGTTAATCGGACCTACACTTTCACGACTTAAACTAGATAGTGAATCAGTAAATAAATAAAACCTAAAGCTTGGGAGAAGTACACTTGGGTTCCTTCTGTCATTAGTCAGTCCACTGTGGTAGAAAACTGCAGTAATGTGATGCAGTTTCAAAGCACCTTGATCAGCTGTGGTGTCTAATCAATAGCAGATAGAGTGGTATGTTATTCTGGTAAAACCCTTCCACAAAGGCTGCTCTCATGTATTCTTGATCATGTCTCCTCAGAGATCCATCTTTGCTTCTCAATCCTCAATCCTCAGAGCAGAAATAAGGGCATTGGAACATCCTTCATTATGGCGGACTGGAATGCTTTCTAGGTCAAACAAGGGGTGATCGAATAAGGGACTTAGGAAAGCCTAATACTGCAGGGCCTAATGATAGTTCAAACGTCATTTAACATTGGTCATGAGCTTCCATAGATATGCTCAAAATTAAGTAATATAACCTAAGTTGAAATAACATTTTTATCTTACAGCAGCTGCACATGGAGGGGACAAGAACTGTTTAAAATGCTAGGTGTTGCATCTTTAATAAGACTTACTGGTGTATTGTATTGACAGATGACTGACACTTTAAACCTTTTTTAAGTTATTTTGTTCTGTTTGCAACATACTAGGCTATTCACTTTGGGTGGCGTTTGCGGCTAACCAGTAATTTCAACAATCTTTCCCTCCAGTCCGCCCAGATATCTCGCTCACTTTTTTCCTTCCTTGCTTCCTCCCTGTGGCTGTGGCATCACGAGGGATTTAATTATCAAAATGACTAATTATTTCATTACCAGGGAGTGTGGGGTGAGGTGGTATCCACCAAATTAGAAATATAATAACTAACATGGACTGGGCTGCCAAGGCATGAAGACATTCATCACCTTTTACAGGCGGGATTAATGTGTCATTTGGACCGCCGTTAGCAGCACAGACAAATTCAATTAAGTTTAAGTGAGGAGATGTCAGCGCTGCAGAAAAGCTTATGCACAGCAACTGTAGACGAGAACAGGGTGGGGGAGGAGTACCGTATGGAGGAGATGAAGCATGAGTAGAGATTGTGGAGTGCAGTTGGTGGAATTTAACAATATATTTGTTTCAAAGTGTATGAACTAATAGATTTTTTTTCTAAGTGACAGAAGAGAAGGCCTATTGATAGGACATATTTGTATACACAGGCAGCTCCAGTCTTCTCTGCCTTTGTGAAAGACACCCTAATGGCAGCTAAATATTAATTGCTTCTAATTCTTTCATCTAAATTGCTGATTGACATCATGTTTAGTGAGCAATCTTTGTAAAGTGCTTTAAAAATGACACTATTAGTGATGGTTACTATGAATTCTACATGATGAAAGCAAAAAACAAAGAAAACCCCCCCCCCAGTAATTTTCAAGGAAACCAAAAGGGTAAAATGACTCACAGGACAAGATTATGGGTTCTACTGTCATGAGGTAATCTTAATACAAGGGTATGATTTCCACTCTCCCTCCCTCAGTTTTTATATTTTTTATAGTATAACCTTTCTGAACATGTCCTTTTACTGTCTTGCTTCTGGGTCTTACACTGGGGGTCTGCAACCCCCAGGGAGGCCAAGAGTTAGGGCAGGGGTGCTGCCAAATTACTGTTTGCAGATTTAAGTTAAAATGTGTTATTATTTATTTTTAATACACAAATAAAGAAAGAAATAAAGAAATATGGCTGGAAATACACATTAATTCACATTAACAGGAATCAAACCTATTAATAGCATAGATTAAGAAAATATTCTTTAATATTTAATCAATACTTGTAAAAAACAAACAAACAAGCAAACAAAAAACATTAAATTTACAGTACACAACACTGATGATGGACTATTATGCTAAGGCAAACTATTTAGTTAACAGTTATGCATTATTGAAACTTATTGGCCACTTCACTGTATTAATATTTTAATTGCAGGGAAAATCTTGTGAGCCACAATGGATCATTTTTGAGCAAACACCAAAGCACAGAGCTACAAATGGGCATACCCAGCTCAGTCTCCTATAAAAATGCCAACATGTAATTCTAACACATTTCTTGCCCACCACTAGATTATGTGTTGTTAAGAGGTCATAAAGAGGTTGTTCAGAAAAAAAGACCTCCCTATCATATAATTTCTTTTTAATAATGAGTGTCTGCTTATAGTAAATATGATCCATGATTTAATTTTTGCCTATATACTGTCATGCAGGTACACAGTACTACAGTGAGCCTAAAAGGTAAAGCAATTTATAATTGCTTTTCAAATGTGTCTTACTGTTTTTGATGGTGAAATAGCTCTGATTTAAAAATGTAACCTGTATTTATGTTGTATTGTGTCTTGTATGGTATCTATGGAAAGGAGTGTCAATGTGGATGCTTTAGAGAGACTTATTTTCATCTCCAGTGCAATGTTCAGGTGAAGTTTTAACCCAACGAGATCTTTAGAGCAATGGTTGACATGTCAAATATCATTAAAAGGACCAGGGTTCATTGGGTTGCTTGATAGGCAGGGAATCTATAATACATCTGTTACCAGGGACTGATTGTCTTCAAATTGGTCCACATATGTAGATTTGTTGTCAGGACACAGCACAGGCAAGGAATCTACACAAGACTGCCATGAAGTAGATAACCACTTGACTTGGCTAAGCAGACTGCTAAAGTGTCATATTGACTGTGGTTGGACGATTACAAAAAACTGTACAAGATGTTCCCCATCTTTTACAGTGTAAAAGAGTTCCTCTCACAAGGGATTTCTTCATAGCCAGCATGAAGACAATCACGCAACCAAAAATTCCGCCAATGTGCACATCATGTCATGTGAGCATTATACTGAGTTAGACTTTAGTATGAGTGTTTAGTGTTATGTGGCTTTTACTTTGAGCCCTTTTTATAGCACCTCCTGTCTTACTCTTTCTTGCTGAGCAATGCACTCAACACGCCAACAGAGAACACGCAAAGACAAATTTAAATCTGGTCTCTTAAACTAATGAGGATGGTAGTCAGGGGACCATTTGACAATGTGTCATCGATATCTGTCTTCAGTCCACATTTACACAAAATAGCAATGCAGTGACATTGTTACTTGAGAAAGTGAAAGAGGTTCAGATTTCTTTGGATGCAGCACTCAGCCTCTCCTGTTTGGTTAACATTCCCCATTTTAAGTTTACATTTGTCACTGCAAAGAGAATATCTATCCTTAATAAACATTTCATATCCGATGCAGTGCACCTGCTAGAGGTTGTGAATATCAATCAGGCTGCCACTCAATACCCTTCAGTTAAATATGTAGATTCAATATTTGTTCAATACAATAATTGGATTCAATAAGGTGCTGTAGAAACTGACCCTAAAGAATGGATTAACTAAATAAGCCTTCTGGACACAGGCCAAGGGTCAATCACAGAGGTCAGTTGAAAGTAGTACAGTCTGCTTAGAGAGTGTGCTCCAATTATCATCATATGACAAAGAGTGCTGGAAAAATAGAATTGGGCTGATCGTCGAATCTCAGTTTGGATTCCATCCTGCTTGTGGTACAGTGGACCAGCGCTTTACTTGCAAGAATAAAGGAGGGGAGTTCACATGGTCCAGTCTACCTGTGCTTTGTAGCCTTGAAGAGGGCCATGTCCCTCAGGGTGTCTTGTGGGAGGCTCTTTGGGACAGTGGGATGCCAGGGCCATTGCTGTGCGCCTTCTATAATGCTGTGTGCATATTTTCAGAAAAAATTAAATCAGTTCTTCATTGCCAAAGGGCTGTGCCAGGGTTGTACCTTGTCACTGATTCTGTTTGAGATTTTCATGGACAAGATGAATAGAGAGTGATGAACTTAGGTTTGGATCTCTGCTTTTTAGCAGATAGTTTACTTCTGATGGGTTCACCAGTCCGCAGCCTCCAGCGCAGACCCAGGTGATGGAGTTTAAGTATCTTCGAGTCTTGTTTATGATTAAAGGCTCATTTACATGTATTTGTGTATGAAAATAGATACATTCATCTGTAAAGATGTAACCATCACTGTCCTCATACTTTGATGCATCGTTTATGTTGGCATAGATACAGCCACTAGATGGCACTAAAGGACAGAGTCAAAAGTTTCTGACAAACAAAGCGACGGGGAAGGCAATCGTAATAATGAACCTTTTAATGGAGGCAGCATTGTAGATGGTTGTGGTCTGTGAGGCCATTAAATACATTGCGAGATGTGACAGAAAATTACTGATTAATTCAGTTCTGCAATGTTTAGAATGTCTTTGTTGTGCCCTATGTAGCATTTGCTTGCCTTTGATTTTTGGTGGCATAGCTCTGTTTCATTCAAATTCGTAAGCTTTCCGAAAACATGCATAAATACGGAGAACATAAACAGAGTACCGACAGAAGGCTCCCTCCATGACTGTTTATGTAAATAACATAGAGCACAATGAGCCTTTAGGGAAAAATGGAACACAATTACTGTAGACACTGCACAATACCGCTTTGTTGAGGGGGGAGCTCAGTTTGAAGGGGAAGCTTTCAATTTACCAGCCGATCTAAATCTCGCCTATGGTCATGAGGTCTGACCTGGAATTTTGCTCTACAGATCACCAACTGTGGGAATGATTGACCCCTTTGGAGGGCCTATGGGCCACTTTGTTAGTTCCACCTTAATAACACTTTGTAAAGGCCTACTATGCCTACAATATAAAGGTGAAGCATCTAATGTAATGTAAGGTAAAACATTAACTTATCTCTAAAAAATATGTTGGTTAGCATATGGCAGTCTTTACTGTAATCACACATATTTTTATGCTTTTTAATATTTAATATAATTATAGCCAGGAAAACTCAGTTGCCGTGGTAAATTATCCAGCTTATGTTACCACTGCCTTACTAAACAACACCAAGTGTGATGATTGGTCAGATAGTCTCACTCCACTCAAGCCTGGGCTCCATGTGAAACTCTAAGCAATGTAAATACAAGCAGGTGCCATGCATGCAAGGTCAGATTTAATGGGTATTTTGGAGATTAAAAGGTAAAACGTAAATACTTTGAAAATCAGGAAGTGGTGTGAAGATGTATGAAGTATGAAGAGGACCAGAAATTTAGAACAGAGATGTGTGACAGGCATGATAGTCTTACCATGGCACCAACGCTGTATGTGGCTGCTGGAGTGAGTGTGTGGTTGTAGGGGTCGGCAGCATATACTCGTCCGTAACTGTAGAAATACATGAGATAACAGAGGATGGTTAGATCAGTCGAGTGGAGTGGACTTCAAATAACTACCCATTGGTTCTTCCTTGATATACTTACCAATTTTTATGTGATATACAGTGGGTTTATATATAAATAAAAAGGTGGGTTACACTTTATTTTTCCCAGAGACGTTATTATTGAACAATCATGTTGACGAAAAGTCACTATAAATTATGAATGTCAAACTCATAATTACTGTGCCAAAGTCACTGAGAATTATCATCCAAGTCTGCAGCTCTATGAAGCTTTATAGGCTCATTTACCTCAGTTTTCAGCACATTGTGACTCACTGAGGCTCACAATAAACCTCATTCACAGTCCCTTAAAGGAGCTATATGTAAGAAATCTAAAGCAAATAGTCGTAAAATCCTCCTAATATGTCACAGAGACTAAGGAATAATGTTCATATAACATACTGATCTCACCGACAACAATAGTACAGCCAGAATATTAAAAAACATTTTTACAGTCTGCAAATCATGTTTATGTTTTGAATTTGTGTTTTGGTCTGTTGCGCCACCCACCGCCGTCTACCAGTCACACAGTCAGTAGAGTCTCAGCATCAGTTACAGTTACGACTGAGCTACAGCAGCACGGCAAGCAGCATTAGCAGTGTCCCGGTACATAGCATTAGCAGCCAGCTTCTCCTCAGCTGTATCCCGGCAGCAGCGTTAGCAGTGTCCTGGTACATAGCATTAGCAGCCGGCTTCTCCTCAGCTGTATCCCGGCAGCAGCGTTAGCAGCAGAGAAGCCGGACTTGCTTGAACGGTCCACTGGAAAACCGAAGATCAAGGACGCAGCAACACAGCCCTGCCGCGGCAGCTGCCTGTGGGCAAACAAATCAGTCTCCAGCGTGCCGCTGTCCAGCAACCTTGTATCTGTAGGGGAGGGGGGAGGACACGACTCGGCAGTATTTTGAATTTGAGTGCAGTAACCATTTTGGACACATTCTTACATACAGCGCCTTTAAGGCTACATTGTCAATTATACCCCTATGGTACAAAGGTGTTGGAATGAGCTGACGACATACTGGTTCTGCTATTCTTTATATACAAGACAATTTCCATTGGGAAAATTGAAAAAAAAAAAGAAAGAAAAGAAATTTCGAAATATGTAGTGAAAATTATGTGAGGGTAAGTCTAAATCTAATGCTTACTACCTCAAATGATGAAATAGACTCATCCTTAATAAAAGTAAATTACAAACCAAAGTTTTTGACTTATTGTCACAATTTTGACTTAACATGAGTATTTCAGTTTTGTCAATACAAACAAATCAATTATTTTTTTTCCAGTCCTCCAAATTAAATGCCAACATGTGATGTTTGTAACTGTCCTCCAGAAAACCACACTTTAGCGTCCCCTGATCTGACACCCCTGACAGAAAGAAAACATAATTTGTCAGTGCTTTCCAAAAGCGTTTCCAATCATTGTTTCAAAAACACGATGTGGTCATGATTACCACAGACCACACCCGATTACACCCAGCTATGATACTGGACAGCAAAGTCACCAGAAGAAAATGTTAGCATTGTAAGTTTTGGCAAACCATGAATACTTTTGTCAATCAATCAATCAATCAATCAATCAACCAATCAATTTTATTTATAAAGCCCAATATCACAAATCACAATTTGCTTCACAGGGCTTTACAGCATATGACATCCCTCTGTCCTTAGGACCCTCGCAGCGGATAAGGAAAAACTTTTGTAACTTTTGTAATACATTTGTTCATTTTTTATGCATTATATCAATGTAATATCAATCTCTATTGTGTAACAGTTGTGATTTAGCAAGTCATCTCTGTCTTCCCACATTGTAAACCAGGTTGCCAACTTTGATCAGAGGGCTGGAGTGAGATTTTAGCTTGTGACGTAATATCTGCTTGTGTGTGCGTGGTCAGAACATACATGGACATGGCGGCACTTTTTTTTTTTTTTTTTTTTTTTTTTAACCTTAAAAGAGTTAATATGCACATGTGGAAAACAGAAGAAATTAATGTATGTTTACATATTCATATCTATAGGCCTAAGCCCCACATACTTCCATAGATGTATATTTGTTTTATGGCGCAGATCAAGGTCAATTTCATCAATCTATGGTAGTATAGTCATCTGCTTAAAACATCCAGTAATATGTCCTGTTGTGACAAACAGAAAGATTTTAAGGGGGATTCCGGGGGGTCTGCCCCGAGAAAATTTTGAAATTCACACAGTGAAATCCTATTTTAATGCAATTTCATACAGAAACAGATAAATTCAAGGATTTTCAATGACCTGTGTACAGGGCTGGACTGGGACAAAAAAATGCAGACATTTATGTATCTTATTTGTACTTGCAAACATTTTGAAATAAAAGAATTCTTTGGCAAGTGCTTTCACCATAGGCACTGTGTACTCCAGGGCCATCTACTACCACCAGGATGTATATGAGAAGTGAATGAGCACATCGATTTTCTAGCCTTGGTACTCTCTTCCAGGGCACGTAGGGTACTACTGAGATTTATTTTAATTTTGGTAACAGCATAGTGTATGAGTATGGCATTTCATCAATCATAGTGGGCCACCATGGCCAAAACTGCCAGGGCTATTTTTTTGTCCCTGTCCAGCCCTGCTTTATACCTCCAGGGTTTCCGCAAATTATCGTGTGACATTATGATCTCGCAATCCAACAATTTCAGCTGCTGGCGTGCGCGCCGCTACAGTTCCAGTGGACACTGACGCCTGGCACAGGACGGAGCGAGTCTGCGCTGGTAGACATCCAGTATGCAGTCCAGTCAAGCCATGCAATGGGCTGGATGTAAAAAAAACAACAACAACTTTGCGACGGCGGAGTGAGATTTGTTAAATGGGCGTGAGAGAGTGAAAGTCATGCCAGATGCATGAGAGTTGGCAGCCCTGCCGTAGTCGGCTGACTGTGAGACTAGAGCTGCCCAATCAAAGCGCAAATATGGATTGCGCACCAATCAGAGACAGAACATGTGAGCGGGAGCGGAGCGGAGTGGGGAGCGAGGAGTGGCTATTTTTTTAAAAAGGTGGAGCGGAGCCTTATCTCTCGCTCCAATTTCGCTCCGGTCGCTCATGCCCCACCCAGAATGCATCTTTGCACCTGCGCACACCCACACTATTTTCTTTCAAAACTATGGAGTTTACTGTGTACTTCAGAAAAGAAACTGAGAAGAGAAGCAGCGGTACCTTGGAAAATGGTCCCTAACTGCGGGGAGAGGCGAGAGGGCTTCCCTGGAGGACGGCCGCTTAACCCGGTCCGTCTCCTCTACACTTTGACTTATTTCCACCCTGCCGACAGCGGTATCGTGGAGACCAGTCCCTAACTGCGGGGAGAGGGCTTCCCCAGAGAATCTACCAAGCTCATGTTTTATTTGTGAATAGAAGATTACAGGTTAGGGTAGTACGACACAGTTTTTTTGAGCGGAGTGGTGAGCGAGTGGAGTGGGATAAAATTTATGATGGAGTGGAGCGGAGCAGAGCGAAGAATGCGCAAAACCAAGCAGAGTGGACGAGCGGCGCAAAGTGACAGGTCTGCGAGCGAGGAGCGGAAATTTTCACCCGCTCCGCTCACATGCTCTGATCAGAGAGTAGTTTTCCACAGAAACATTTGGTCGCACTCCATTTCACTCAACCGGTACGCCGGTCAGGCGGAGTCTGCCCCTCTCCTGGTTGGACAGAGTGAGACCGTGAGATGGAAGGTGAATGCATGTGTCACACGCTAGATGTGTGAGATTTGGCAACCCTGTGTAAACCCAATCTATCCATGACACAAAATTTTAATGTAAAGTCAACACAAATGCCCCAAATTGTCAAAATGACTAGGGCTGTAGTCTGGTCGACTAGTCTATTATTTGGTCGATATGCTCTCGTCCAACCAAATTCTCAACATTAGCATGTTGTATTTGCTTGGAAAACGTGTTTAGTATAAGACAGTTGTTTTGTCAGTGAACCTTGTGAGTTGTAATGGAGCCAAATTATGCGTCGTTACCTTTGTTAAATGCTGTTGTCCCTGGCTTTATATGAGAAGAGAAAAAGATTGCTAGATGCTAGGCTAGTTTATACAATGTAAAATGCCATAGACTTGTGCTAATAATGTTAGCTGGTGGGGGAAGTCTGTCCAGATAAAGACAAGTGTTTGTCTGTCAATTCTGCGAATTATAGTGAAGCCAATTTGTGTACTTGTGTTTGAAATTGTCCCTATTAAGCCATATTTAATGTGTGTTTTCAATCAACTAAACTTTACAGCACTTAACACAGTTCTCCACCGCCGACTAGTGTTTTGGAGGTGTAACTGCAGAGTGACACAGCCACACCACCGCAGAAGTAAAAAAAAAAAAAAAACTAATTAGTTGAAGATTATGTACGACTTTAGTTGACCAAGATTTTCTTTGGTTGACTACAGCCCTAAAAATTACATTACACTTTCTGTTCACTTGACACAAAAATGAATCCCTTGTGAGCTTGACATATTTTTAATGTAAAGACAACAATTTTTGAGCTTTAACTTAATTTGACTAAAATTTATAAAGCTGGTTTTGCCTAATTATTTTAAGACCAATAAACGACACAATCATTGTGCACTTAACATATTGTAGCGTGTTGGGGCTAAATGGGTGAAGTTTTCCAGCATGCCGTGAGATAATGGCCTCTAGTTTCCCGGTGGCGCAGGGTGGCGAACCCTGCGCAGAGCTAGTTTCGAGCAGCGCAACCCGAGGCACGCTCAGTTTGGTAGTTTGTGGCGGTGCAGTAGGGGGAGGTGTCGACACATCCAGCTTGGCGCAGTGACAGTTTCGTGCCAAAAGGCTTCGCCGAAGGTGTGCTAAAAGCTCGCCAGCTGAAACCAGGTCTACTGTCAGCACAGGGGGAGCGCAGCCGGTGTAAGCCGAAGTCTGGCTGACCGGCGGACAGTGCGCACATGTCACCAAAACCTCACAGGCAGGTTTCCAGAATGTCAG